AAAAAAGTTGGGACAAGTCCATTTTTACCACTGTGTGGCATCCCCCCTTCTTCTTACAACACTCAACAGATGTCTGGGGACAGAAGAGACCAGTTTCTCAAGTTTAGAAATAGGAATGCTCTCCCATTCATGTCTAAAACAGGCCTCTAACTGTTCAATCATCTTGGGCCTTCTTTGTCGCACCTTCCTCTTTATGATGCGCCAAATGTTCTCTATAGGTGAAAGATCTGGACTGCAGGCTGGCCATTTCAGTACCCGGATCTTTCTCCTACGTAGCCATGATGTTGTGATTGCTACAGAATGTGGTCTGGCATTATCGTGTTGAAAAATGCAGGGTCTTCCCTGAAAGAGATGACGTCTAGATGGGAGCATATGTTGTTCTAGAACCTGAACATAGTTCTCTGCATTAATGGTGCCTTTCCAGACATGCAAGCTGCCCATGCCACAAGCACTCATGCTACCTCATACCATCAGTGATGCAGGCTTCTGAACGGAGCGTTGATAACAACTTGGGCTATCCTTGTCCTCTCTGGTCCGGATGACATGGCGTCCCATTGTTCCATAAAGAACTTCAAATCATGACTCATCTGACCACAGAACAGTCTTCCATTTTGCCACACTCCATTTTAAATGACCCCTGGCCCAGTGCAAACATCTGAGCTTGTGGAGCTTGCTTAGAAATGGCTTCCTCTTTGCACTGTAGAGTTTCAGCTGGCAACGGCGGATGGCACGGTAGATTGTGTTCACTGACAATGCTTTCTGGAAGTATTCCTGAGCCCATTCTGTTATTTCCTTGACAGTGGCATTCCTGTTTGAGGTGCAGGGACGTTTAAGGGCCCGGAGATCACGAGCATCCAGTAGAGTTTTACGGCCTTGACCCTTACGCACAGCGATTGTTCCAGATTCTCTGAATCTTTTGATGATGTTATGCACGGTTGATGATGATAACTGAAAAGTCTTTGCTATTTTACGCTGGGTAACACCATTCTGGTATTGATGCACTATCTTTCTGCGCAACAATGGTGGAATTGGAGATCCTCTTACCATCTTGGCTTCTGAGAGACACTGACACTCTGAGAAGCTCTTTTTATACCCAATCATGTTGTCAGTTGACCTAATTAGTGTTAATTGGTCTTCCAGCTGTTCATTATATGCTCAATTTCCTTTTTCCAGCCACTTATTGTTACTTGTCCCAACTTTTTTGGGATTTGTTGACACTGTGAAATTTTAAATCAACATATTTTTCCTTTAAAATGTTACATTTACTCAGATTAAACTTTTGATCTGTCATTTATTTTATATTACGAATAAAATATTGACATTTGCCATCTCCACATAATTGCATTCAGTTTTTATTCACAATTTGTCTAGTGTCCCAACTTTTTTGGAATCCGGTTTGTATATACTGTATACAAATATACATATACATACGTATATACATACAAATATCGATATACATATACATACATATTTACATATATGTATATATATATATATGTATATATAAGTATATATTTATATATGTAATTATTTTCCATAATGTAATGATAAAAATGAAACTTTCATATATTTCAGATTCATTGCACACCAACTGAAATATTTCAGGTCTTTAATTGTTTTAATACTGATGGTTATGGCATACAGCTCATGAAAACCCAAAATGCCTGTCCCAAAAAAATTAGCATATCATGAAAATGTTCTCTAAACAAGCTATTAACCTAACCATCTGAATCAACGACGTAACTCTAAACACCTGCAAAAGATTCCTGAGGCTTTTAAAAACTCTCGGCCTTGTTCATTACTCAAAACCGCAATCATGGGTAAGACTGCCGACCTGACTGCTGTCCAGAAGGCCATCATTGACACCCTCAAGCAAGAGGGTAAGACACAGAAAGAAATTGCTGAACGAATAGGCTGTTCCCAGAGTGCTGTATCAAGGCACCTCAGTGGGAAGTCTGTGGGAAGGGAAAAGTGTGGCAGAAAACGCTGCACAACGAGAAGAGGTGACCGGACCCTGAGGAGGATTGTGGAGAAGGGCCGATTCCAGACCTCGGAGGACCTGCGGAAGCAGTGGACTGAGTCTGGAGTAGAAACATCCAGAGCCACCGTGCACAGGCGTGTGCAGGAAATGGGCTACAGGTGCCGCATTCCCCAGGTCAAGCCACTTTTGAACCAGAAACGGCGGCAGAAGCGCCTGACCTGGGCTACAGAGAAGCAGCACTGGACTGTTGCTCAGTGGTCCAAATAACTTTTTTCGGAAATCAGGGTGCCAGAGTCTGGAGGAAGCCTGGGGAGAAGGAAATGCCAAAATGCCAGAAGTCCAGTGTGAAGCACCCACAGTCAGTGATGGTCTGGGGTGCCATGTCAGCTGCTGGTGTTGGTCCACTGTGTTTTATCAAGGGCAGGGTCAATGCAGCTAGCTATCAGGAGATTTTGGAGCACTTCATGCTTCCATCTGCTGAAAAGCTTTATGGAGATGAAGATTTCATTTTTCAGCACGACCTGGCACCTGCTCACAGTGCCAAAACCACTGGTAAATGGTTTACTGACCATGGTATTACTGTGCTCAATTGGCCTGCCAACTCTCCTGACCTGAACCCCATAGAGAACCTGTGGGATATTGTGAAGAGAAAGTTGAGAGATACAAGACCCAACACTGGATGAGCTTAAGGCCGCTATCGAAGCATCCTGGGCCTCCATAACACCTCATCAGTGCCACAGGCTGATTGCCTCCATGCCACGCCACATTGAAGCAGTCATTCATGCAAAAGGATTCCTGACCAAGTATTGAGTGCATAACTGAACATGATTATTTGAAGGTTGTGTTTTTTGTATTAAAAACACTTGTCTTTCATTGGTGGGATGAAATATGCTAATTTTTTGGGACAGGCATTTTGGGTTTTCATGAGCTGTATGCCATAATCATCAGTATTAAAACAATTAAAGACCTGAAATATTTCAGTTGGTGTGCAATGAATCTGAAATATATGAAAGTTTCATTTTTATCATTACATTATGGAAAATAATGACCTTTATCACAATATGCTAATTTTTTGAGAAGGACCTGTATATATATATTTTTTTGTATATATATTTATGCATATGACTATGTATGTATATATTTATATCTATATATATGTATATCTATATTTTTTGTATATATATATATATATATATATATATGCATATGTATGTATATATATATAGTGTTTTATTTTTTCCTGAGTGGTCTTAATATATCTTTGTAAGTCTTTTAAATTAGTTCTTGGACTTTGTGATATCCTTGGAGGTCTGCGTTCTTCGTTTGTATTTCTGTCCTAAAAATATACATGTACAGTCTTGTTTTGAAGTGTTTCACATTAAAAATTGCATGTTTTTGTGCTTCTCCTGTACTTTACAAACTGTATTTCTGTATTGCAGGAGGATTTTGAGTTTGATGCCCAGCCCCACTTCCCTGACCTTCAGTGCAATTCAGAGAACACAACCCCAATGGGTGGAGAGAACATGGGAGGTTGGTGGCCCGAGTACAGTACTCCAAACACAGGTGTGAGATCCACTAGACAGTTTTCACCAGCATGTACTCGGATCACCTTCACATGCTTTTGGGAAACTTGAGTTGTCTTTTAGTTTTTTGTTCTCCATAACACCATAACTCAGTGTTGGATTGTTGGTTGTTGTTTTCGTTCCAAGGATATTTAAGTTGGGGTATTCGTTCATCTATCCATCCATCCTTCCCTCCTTTCTTTTTCCTTTCTTCCCTCCCTCCCTCCCAACCTCCCTCCCTCCTTCCTTCCAACAACAAAAAGCATTTTGTCTTGTTAATCTTGTTGATATTTGTTTTTCACTAAAAAAAAACAACTTTGGAGACCTGTAGTTTCACAAGGTTGCTTGAAAACTGCATGATGGTTGAGGTGACAAGTATTCATTTGTGAGTTCTGTCAGAACTTTCAGTTCTTGTGAGGTTCTTTAAGTGTGGGTGGAAGCATGCAGAAAAAAGTAGAAGCTTGTACACCGGCATTTCCGGTACACACAACAGAAAAGTAGAAAAAGTAGGGAAAATGGGAACAAAAAAGATTAAAAAGCTGGAAAAATAGTTAAAAAGTGTTAAAAACATTGTGTGTGTATGTGTGTATATATAATATATGTACTTATACAGTATATATATATATATATTATATATATACAGACCCTTTCCAAAAAAATTAGAATATCATGGAAAAATTGTTTAATTTCCTTAATTCCATGCAAAAAGTTAATCTTTACTAGATGATAGATTCAGGGCCCACAATCTAAATGATTTCAAGTATTTATTTGTTTATTTTTACATAATTTGGGCTTCCAGCTCATGAAACCCACAAAAATAGGATTTAAAAAAGTTAGAATCCTGTGGAGAAATCAGCCCAAATTTTGCAGGGTATGAATGTTTTTTTAACTGAGTGTGACACTGATCATCTACTAAACTCAAAGCACCTGCACAGGTTTCCCCAGGTGTTATTAAATTGCTTCAGTTTGGTTCAATTGTTGCATTCCATTCAATATGGGGAAGACTGCAGACATAACTGTCCAGAAGACCATCATTGATGCCCTTCATAGCATGGGTAAGCCACAAAAGTTCATAGCTAAGGAGGCTGGCTGTTCACAGAGTGCAGTGTTCAAGCATATCAATGGAACGTTTAGTGGAAGGGCAAAATGTGGCAGGAGAAGATGCACCAACAAAAGAGATGATCGTGGGCTTCAGCAGATTATCAAAACAGAGAAGATTCCAGAATCTGGCAGAGATCCAGAACGAGTGGAATGAGGCGGGAGTCACAGCTTCAAAAACCACCACATTCAGCGTGCATTCACACCAGCCCTGTTTAGTCCGCTTTAATCGAACTCTAGCTCATTTTCCTAGAAAGTCCGGTTCGTTTGGGGAGGTGTGAACGTGCAATCGAACTCTGTCACGGAACAAAAAGGCGAACTCTGGCCCGGGCTAAAACCTAGGTCTCGGTCCGGTAGAAGAAAACTCCAGCGCAGTTCGAGTACAGTGTGAATCTAAACAGACCGGGCCCCGCTCCACAAGCAAGAAGTGGAGTACAACACAGGGCAAACAAATGTGCATTTCTCTTACCTTATATGGAGCCGTCAGCTGACTTGTGTGAAAAACAATATTCTCCATGGTCTTCTGCCTCATCTTCTGCTCATGCTGAGTCCATTTTTGAAAAATGACAAAATCTAACTCTTAAAACTGCTAAAACTTGATGCCACTCCATTTTTGTTTTTATTTCCAAAAGAAGAAGTGTCTTCAGAGGTTTTTGTGTTGTTTCTTTCAGTAGTTCTTTGTGCAGCGCCACCACAGGCGAGCGGGGGGGACAGGTTGGTTCAACAGGTTGGCTCGACTGCACAGTGCAGTGTGAATGCAAACGCACCAGCTCAAATGTAACAAAATGTCATGAATATTGGTCCCCAACCGAACCGAGTCTACCGGACTATCTGGTGTGAATTCACCCTTAGACGCATCTGGGAGATGGGTTACAACTGTCGGGTTCCTTGGGTCAAGCCACTTCTGAACCTGAGCCAACATAGGAAGCGTCTCAACTGGGCCAAGGAGAAGAAGGGCTGGACCGTTGGCCAGTGGTCCAAGGTCCTCTTTTCTGATGAAAGTAAAGTGTGCCTTTCATTCGGAAATCAAGGTCCAAGGGTTTGGAGGAAGAAGGGTGAGGAACAGAACACAAACAGCTTGAGGTCCATAGTGAAATATCCACAGTCAGTCACGATTTGGGGTGCAATGTCCAGTGCAGGTGTTGGTAAACTCTGCTTTTTTAAATCCAAGGTCACCACAACAGTCTACCAGAATGTTTTAGAGGACTTCATGATTCCTTCTGCTGAGGATATGTGTGGAGATGCAGATTTCATCTTCCATCAGGACCTGGCCCCTGTCCATGCCACCAGAACCACCAAGACCTGGTTTTTAATGCCCATGTCATTACAGTGCTTGAATGGCCAGCCAACTCGCCGGACCTAAACCCCATTGAGAATCTATGGGGTATTCTCAAGAGGAAAATGAGGTGCACCAGACCCAACAACAAAGAAGAGCTGACAGCATCAAGGAAATCTGGGCTTCCATAACTCCCAGGCAATGCCACAGGCTGATTGCCTGAATGCCACGTCGCATCGAGGCAGTGATTAAGGCAAAGGGATTCCCAACCAAGTATTGAAGATTGACATATCGTTTTGAAAGTACCATATTTGATTGATTTGTTCTGATCCTAATTTCTTTCTTTTTTTTTCTGTAAAAACTGAGTAGTGTGGGCTGATGTCTTTACAGTATTCTAATTTTTTGAATTCCTGTTTTTGTGGGTTTCATGAGCTGGAAGCCCAAATTATGTAAAAATAAACAAATAAATTATGTAAAATTGTTTAAATTGTGAGTCCTGAATCTATCATCTATTACAGTTTAACTTTTTGAATGGAATTATGGAAGTTAAACAACTTTTCCATGATATTCTAATTTTTTGGAAAGGGTCTATATACTGTATATATATATATATATATATATAATTTTTTTTTATTCATTCAACTTGTATTTAAACAGATAAGTCACATTGAGCCTCGAAGGCTCATTTACAAGTGAGACCTGTTTGGACAGAGTCATTTCTCACCAAAAGTGGTGAAAAATGACACATGGGGTTTGGAGACCAAAAAAATCCCAACACATTTTTAACTTCTGTTTTAAGGTCAACAGTGTGATAATGAAAAAAAATCTTGCGCAGTAGCATATAATGACGCCGATATTATGCAGGGGGCGGTGTACACAAGGGCGGTGAGCAGCCAGAGACAACACACATAGGTACTGCAGAGTTCAGATACAATCACTCAGTTCAAATCGTTCCCTCTGGAGAGATCCGTGCACACTCAGGGGGTGCTGAGGACAACCAGATACAAATCCAGAGTTCTGAAATGATGACAGAATGTTTATTCAGCTGGGCTCCTCTGAAAAGTCCATGTAAATTCCTCAGAAGGAGGGGAGAGAGGGGCTGAGCATCAGGTTTACAAAAATTTCCAGGCGGGTTGAGATAAGATGGCCTGTCAAGGCCAGTCAGGGAGCTGAATTCAGATAAACACGATTGTTTTGGGGACAGGCAGAACTTAATGGCATCTACCTTGAGTCTGTGTCGGTCCACTCGCTTCCGAAATGTCCAAATTAAATGGCCATACCAATGGAACGTGCCTGAGAATAATCCTCGAGATCTGATCCATTTTTCCAAGAGTCTGGGTGCTCAAGGCACGAACCAAGCCATCATGTAAGGCAGGCAGCCTGACCAGGTCCAGATTTGCTGCCCACGACTTCCTTGTTTGTTGATAGACCGGGAACCAGCCAAATCCAAAAAGCAGGAACCAGTTATCATAAATCCAATTATAAAATCCACATATGACATCAGAGATAGACACGTCATCAAGTCTTCTAAGTCGATGAGATATCCAGCTGCGTGCGTGCCAACAGGGCAAATCAGCTCGCCTAAAGCCTGTCTTCTCTTCAAAGAAATGTTATCAATTGTGTTGAGGGACCAACTGATCAAATCCAAGTCCATAGTTATGATTAGGAAGATTTGTAGGAGAGAGGCTCCAAAGTAGTTTCACAGACAGAACAGAGCAAAAGCAAAGTGGAGAGGGAGAGGAGGAGACGTCCGCCTTTGAGAAGAACAAGTGTTGATGATGTATGTAAATGTGTGTGTGTATGTGTGTACATACTGTACATACACACACACATATACCGAACAAAAATATAAACGCAACACTTTTGTTTTTGCTCCCATATTTCATGAGCTGAACTCAAAGATCTAAAACAGGGCTATTCAACTAAACTGCTCAGGGGCCCACAGTTACTGAAAGCAAACTGCTCGAGTGCTACAAGTCACAGCTGACTTTCTCACCCTGAGAAAATTTTAAATACATATTTTGTTCCCTCCTGTGTGTGGTTCAATTTCCAGGTCCCCCTCATAATTCTTTACACAGAAAAATAGTCTCTTTCTGTCTCTCTTTTGCAGTGTAATGAATTATGAGGGGGACCCGGAAATTGAAACACACACAGAGTCAGAGTCAGAGTCAGAGATTCTTTATTGTCATTCGCACCTCATGTGGTACATGTGGTGGAGCGAAATTATGTACACAAGGTCCCAGTTACATCCAACAATAAAATGTATAAGAAAAACAGTAATAACATCTAAGATATGAACTAAGAAAAACATCAACTAAATATACACTAAGCACTCATAACATAAAAACATTGAACATCAGCACAAACATGAACATGAGTCTGTGAGCAGATGTGCACGCATGAACACATCAACATTGAAACAGATCAGCAGCAACATGAAACAGATCAGCAGCAACATGATATGGTTTTTCACAGTGATTATTCTAGTTAGAGATTCATGAGTCTAACAGCCTCAGGGTAGAAGCTGTTCCTCAGTCTAGTGGTTCTACACTTAATGCTCCTTAACCTCCTTCCTGAGGGGAGTGGGGCAAAAACTGTGTGTGCTGGGTGAGTGGGGTCCTTCATGACTCAGGTAGCCCTCTTCCTGCATCTGGAGGTGTAGATGTCTGTGATGGAGGGGAGACTGATTCTGAGGAAACAGGAGGAAACAAAAGCATTTATTTAAAGTTTTATCAGGAGGTGAAAGTCAGCTGTCATTCTTTTTTTTGTAGCGCTTGATCAGCGGTGGAAAAGCCAAAGTTGCGATGTCGTCAGAGGGAAAGGAGGTTTGGATAGATCACGTGATATCTAGGGCTATATACCGAACCAAGGTTCTTTTATGGCACCGAACGAACTGTGTCCGTCAATGTATGGATTGAAACTTGACTCTTCTTTCGGTGTCAAGTTTCGGTATTGGCTATAACTTGACACGTGGTTTCAGCACGCAGGCAGGTAAAACGTAGACATATAGCAAACAGACTACATGTTTACACCCAGAGCTGTATAGAGCTGCCGTACAGCTGTATGTCTATGGCTGTGGTTACACCCACAGATGGGTTTCACGTGTGCAGCGCGTGCCTTTGAATGGCTTCAGTTTACAAGCAGAAAGTTGCTCCGTGTTTGTCTGCAAGGAAAGAGAACCGCAGCTTCCCCTCCTCTCTCAGCGTTAAAGTCAGCCTGTGAGTGTTGAACGGCCTGATTCAACATCTCCACGACCGGACTCCTCTTCATCAAAGAACTCCAAGGACAGAGCTGTGTCTGGGATTTCAACTGGTAAGTTTACGTTTGTTAACGTTACTGCAACTTAATACGTGCATTGCGGTGAGTTAAACTATGATCCATGTAACACAAATTTTAAGATATTAGTGTGTAGCTTTATTTTATGGCTATCTATGTATCTAGCTAAATCAAAAGCTAACTAAAGATTGACAGTAACAGATGAAGCTTAGCTTGTAAAAATCTGATCATCCATCTGGTCAGCTGGTTAAACAGTTCACCTAATGCTCACTGTTTATGTTCATGTTCTCTTCACAGGAGCCTCTGACCCTGATGTGAGGACAGAGACAGACAAAAGAAAAGCAAGATGGGGGCCACAGGACAGTCACAAACTTTGTTGTTAAAGTTTGCTGCCTTTTTTTTTACAGTGGAGGCTGCATGGTGGAGGTAAGTAAGCTGTAAAGGATATTGCTGATCAGTTAAACCTTTATCGCTCTGCCTAGATAATGGTTTTTGATCAGTAATAACAAAATCATGTTATTGTTGATGTTTTGTGTTCTCATGTCAATTAGGGAAATGATCAGAGCACTAAATCCCAGAGAACCACAGAGAAGATTCAGGAAGAGACACAGAGGTGCAGATGTCTGCTATCAACCCTAACCTCAGTGAATCCAGTGACCTGCTGGTGGAATGTGAGGGACAATATGTCAGTGATATCAGACTTGCCAACCAGGTATCTGTGTGTGCAACAAGCATCATCCACACAGAGTGAACATTTTCTACTGCTGGAGACGCCATCAGCCAGGAGCGGGCTTGGTTGTGTCCAGAGAAAGAAGACATGTTGATTTTTCTGAAGAAAAACTGTTAAGTGAAAAGGTCCTCAGTGTGTAGCAGTGAACATTAGACACTGACGTGTAACTGGTTTGAAACTGTTTTTTTGACCTGGAAATTATTTGTTTATTTTTATGTAAGAAAACTGCTTGGAATGAAAAAATACCCAATTTAAAAAATAAAACTCAAGATTTGTACTGTAATATGTAATGTATTCAAAAAACGTTCAATACAAAAAACAACTGGACTTTATTTGTAACAGAAGACGTTTCGCTCTTCATCCGAGGAGCTTTCTCAATTCAAAGAGCAATTCAATGAGGAGCAAAACGTCTTCTGTTACAAGTCCAGTTGTTTTTTGTATTGAACGTTTTTTGAATTTATCATGCTCTAGATGACTGAAAATCTTCACCAGCATAATGTGTAATGTAATTTTATTCTTGTTAGAATTAATATTAATTACAAACTTGGTACAGAAAAAAGAACCGTCCAGGAACCGACACCGAAGTGAAGGTACCGACACCAACATGATTCCGATTTTTTTAGAAAGGTACCCAGCCTTAGTGATATGTGAGTGAAAGTCCAACAAACACTCTCTTCAGATTGTGGAGCTTGGTTCTGAG